CAAAGTTATGATAAAAACACTGAAAGAAGGTGCAGCTGCCTGTTTAAAACAAGAAATTCCGTTACATAGTCCGTTAAAACAACAAATTTCGTTAGTTTTTCCGTTAAAAACAAGAAATTCCGTTACATAGCCACTTTTATTATATAGAAGATTATAGCCCATAAGATCATCAATAGATATATAGGACATAATTACACTTAGATATATACGACTTTTATAAAGGGGTGCTTTTTGTACTTGGGTTGAGGGATCAGATGCGACCAGAAAGAGTTTCAGTACAGCTTTTACGGAGTCCACAGAAGAGAAACGACAGCCAATTGGACAAGAACTCAAAAGCAATTCGAAGTTCTTCGACGCTGTAATCCTGTAGGAACGGATTTATTTGGGAGGTGGTGGTGGAGATGAGGTGGAGGAAGAGAGGGAGGGGAAAAGAGATTTCGTTTTATTTCGAATTTTTTAATAATTTATTTGAAAATCATTTACACTTTTTCAAAAGGTTTGGGAGTATGATTACAATTAATTCTTTATTTCTATTTATTTTAATTAAATAGAAAGGTATATTTGTCATTCCACATATTTTTATTGAGAAATTGGATAAAAATTGATGAATATGACCTTTTCCACAATGAAACGTAAAAATAGGGATGAAAATACAAAAAATTGAAGCGTTGAGATGTTTTACACACTAAAGGCCAAACATAGAGACGTTTGCAAACTAAAGCCTAAACTCAAAACTTTTCCTTATCTTTTAACCACAAATTCTCAAAAAAATCACTATTCAAAATTCCATCTACTCAAGGGCCATCAAACAAGGGTTAAAAGTTCCATTGAAGATTGCATTTTGCTTCAGTTATAACCTGTCAAATTTTTTTAAAGAATGTCCGATGAAACAATCTAGTTTAGCATAAACATGGAAGTTTCATTCAGAAAAAATAAAACGTGATCAAACTGAAATAATAACATAAAACAAACTCTACAGATCACTTTGGAACAAATAAATTTCAGCGATCAACATAAAACTACAAATTGAGTGACTAATTGTGTTATTGAGTCATTTTTTTTTTACTTTTTGGCAATGGAAACAAATTTTATAGCCAAGTATGGAAAAAATTATCACTTTAATGGACAATTTTCATGTAAAACAAAGTCAAACGAATAGAAAATTTAAAAATTTTTCGGATGAAAAATTATACCAATCAAACATATTTTAAATCATTTTTCCTGCAAAACATTTTCTAAGCAAATCTTTTCCCTATAAAACATTTTCTTTCCACCCATTTTCCACCCTTGTAATCAAACGCACCCTTAGATATATACGGCTTTTATAAAGGGGTGCTTTTTGTACCTTGGTTGAGGGATCAGATGCGACCAGAAAGAGTTTCAGTACAGCTTTTACGGAGTCCACAGGAGAGAAACGACAGCCAATTGGACAAGAACTCAAAAGCAATTCAAAGTTCTTCAGCGCAGTAATCCTGTAGGAACGGATTTATTTGGGAGGTGGTGGTGGAGATGAGGTGGAGGAAAAGGGAGAGAGGAAAAAAGATTTTATTTTATTTCGAACTTTTTAATAATTTATTTGGGTATCATTTGCACTTTTTCAAAAGATTTGGGAGTATGATTACAATTATTTCTTTATTTCTATTTATTTTATTTAAATAGAAGGGTATATTTGTCATTTCACATATTTTTTTTGAGAGATTGGATAAAAATTGATGAATATGACCTTTTTCAGAATGAAACGTAAAAACAGGGATGGAAATACAAAAATTTGAACCGTGGAGACGTTATGCACACTAAATGCCAAACATAGAGACGTTTGCAAACTAAAGCCTAAACTCAAAACTTTTCCTTATCTGTTAATCACAAATTCTCAAAAAAATCACTATTCAAAATTCCATTCTCTCAAGGGCCATCAAACAAGGGTTAAAAGTTCCATTAACCTGTCAAATTTTTTTAAAGAATGTCCGATGAAACAATCTAGTTTAGCATAAACATGGAAGTTTCCTTCAGAAAAAATAAAACGTGATCAAACTGAAATAATAACATAAAACAAACTCTACAGATCACTTTGGAACAAATAAATTTCAGCGATCAACATAAAACTACAAATTGAGTGACTAATTGTGTTATTGAGTCAAAAGTCTTTGGAACTCGAGAAAACATTCAGCGGAACACTCTTATATCCATGTAGTAGAAATTTACTCAAATCACGACACTAGAGACTCCGAGTGAGTCCACACACCCACTCCTTATCTCTCTCTTACCCGGTATCCGAGGGGTTGTGAGGCATCCAAGATGTCTCCTACCATGTGTGTGTATAGAGCCGACCTACTGCTCGTGGAACTCACCTTGAATTGGTGAAGAATTCGCACCTAGAATCCAGATTGGTGAATTCAGTGAAACACTTAAGGCTGCACAAGAAATAAGAACCTGAATATATAAGTCAACTTAGACAGAATCATGATCCCTTGGTCTGGAACTTATTGGCAATATCACTTATTATCACTTCTCACAAAGTTAAAACCATGAATAGATGCAAAGAATCAATGGACAATTACTACAAGAGTGGAGCTCCCGGAGTTGAATAAATATTTACAACATAGAAACCTCTATTTCTAGGAACTACGTGGGAATAAAATAAAACTGAGAAAATTAATGTAAAAAAAGGCTCGGGAAGATTCTTGAAACCGCTGCCTATTTATTATTTTCATGCTAAGATATCATGCTACCACCAAGGTTTTTGTGCTCCAAATAACTGCTACAAATCACATGGCAGGACAAGAGGGTGGCTCTCCAAAGAAATATCAAACGAAAAAATGCTGATACAATATATTTTGTTTTTCCTCTTTTACTTGGATCTCCCAAGAAACCTACAATCACGTAAATCTGGAGCAGTATGAATGATAACAGTGCAGTTACCAAATTAAAACCTCAATGGCAGATTGCCTCTCCATGCATTATCCACCGAGCGAAACTATCTGAAAATTCCTCAAGTACTTCATAGTTATGGGCTTCACTATAAGAAAAGTTTGTTTCAGTCTGCTGCCTTCCCTACAAATGTTACACAGGAAAACAAGGTAATATCAATGTCTGTTTATCCAAAATATTTATCGACAAAGAAGAGAGAGAGCATTCTTAGTCTCTTAAATAACGAGCAAAACAGTTAAGTCTTTTGGTGCAAGATAAATTGTTGTAACTTGTGAGATCACCCACCCACCCCAACAATGCACAGATGCATTTGGAATGTGCTCAATCAGAAAGGGGAGAATAGCAACATTGTCAGTAGTAAAGAAAATAGTTGCATACTTTAATTCAGAAACTTCTACTTTCTCCTTTTTATAAATACTCTCTCATTAAACAGTTCTATGTTGTATGTTGTTCATAAAGTGGGATACATGAAATCCAAAATTGTGAACCCATAATGGTCGTACAGAGCGAGTTATAAAACGTGAACGTGCTTAGTTTACTTGTTTGCTATTTATTCCTATCAAAGCAATGTAATAAAAAGTAAAGAAGCCACTTGTAGGTAAAATCTAACCCTCCCACATGTACATGTCTGATAAATGGATTTCCATTTTCTGATTGTTAGCATTCAACGAGTTAGCACATTTACGAATTTTAAATAATCCAATACAACTGATGGAAATATATGAATTACGCACCATGATAGCATAAAATAGTGTGACTACCATTACAAATTAACTCATCACACATCTTTGCATTGCTTTTGTATTCGACTAAATATGTAATTGTGGCACTGCTACGAAATTGATTGAAAATGGAACTTACGCTATTGCTAGATCCACATCCACTGGCTGATGGGGTTGTTTCCCCAACCATTTCACTGATGATATTTTCAGATGACAGTATCGCAAATGGAGAGGTAGAGAGCATTGACCTGTCCATAAAATATCATGGAACTTTAGCTTTCTCGAAGAAACTCCAAGTATTCATATACTTATTTCCCTCACCCACCCCCAACTCCACCTCCACAACCCCCAGGAAAAAGAAAAAAAGGTTCCTCCAACACAATCCGGTCCAAAATTTAGCTAAATGACCCCTAGATTGGAAGTCATGAACTTGAATTTCATATTACGTCATCCAACAAAGTTGTAGAACATCAAGTGAGGTACTTTAATCAATGTTTAAGGACAGCACACAACTGTAGAAGAGGATAAGTTTCTTCCAAATGTCAATGAAGTGTAGAAATTGAACAGTTAAAAAACCAAAGATATTTTAAAGAACTTGTGTGCATTTTTAAAGTGTAAATATCCTAAGTGTACCCTAGAGAACACTGAAAATAATGAGAGTTTATTTTTCATTGAAATGAAACATATAATGGGAAAAGAGAATAGTTTTGAATTAGAAATCTAGTATTAAGGCTGGGTTGGCATTTTCCGAATACAAAATGATCTTATAAAGATTAAAATTCATGCAATAGACATGAGAAACCCTTCCTGGTTTTGTCTCTAGCTGAATTGAGCAACTAGACACAATAGATCTACAAGTCTGAAATAATGAGATTATGGAGGATTAGTTGGAGAAGGCTAAAATAGGGAAGCAACATATATTCAAAATGATTTGGGAATAGACATTGAGAACCATATTAACAACAATTTTCAACTGCACTAGTGAGAGAGAGATGAGAGCGAGGAATAGAAGGCCTCAACCACAGCCATGACAAACGGACCTCAAATGTAAGCAATGAGTGAGAAAAATTACAAATTCACAGAAAAGATAAATAAATAAAGGAAACCTGTACATACTTTCAGAGAAAAGAAAGATAATATGGATAAGGAATAATGGATCAAAATAAAACTGAACTTGCGTGCCAAATAACAGAAAGGGGAAAGAGCAAGTTTCAATGTGTCATATATTTTCAAGAAAGTCCAATAGCGGGGAAACGAAGTAACATCATTCATTTTTCTAGAAAAGAGTACTCCCATCATGAAGCGCCAAGAAGGCTTGACCCCTTAGTATCTTTAAGAAAAAAGAAATTCAAGTGACTCTCAATAGGATTACCTTTCCAACAACTCTTCCTCGCATGAAGTTCCAGAGGAAAGCCAATCTAAGTCAACAAAGTTTGAACAGTCAATTGTGTCTCCATTTTCATGTTCAAGACAGCCATCTCTTTGCACTTCTGCACAAAGCTCAGCAGATGGCACTGAATGGGTGTATCTGCAGATGTGAAAATGGAGACAGATTAGCCAAGGAAATTTTCTTTTGATACCAAAAGAAGACATGTTTCGATGAATCACTTCCGGCTTTAAATTCTTTTTCCATCTTCAGAGATGGTGTGTGTGTGTCTGTGTGCTTGTTTGTCAGACTAGACCAATACAAGATGGCAGATAATGAAACAAACGTAAGAAAATGGTACATTATTATATTCTAAATTACGCAAGTCTGTATCCTGTAAACTGATATAATTTATACTGAAATAAGCACACACTAACTGTGCAAATTCACATATTAAATTCCGGGTCAATATTTAAAAAACAACTATAGAGCAATAGAGCCCAGCTTCTCCTCCTGATAATGTAAACAACAATAGTTAATGCCTTCCTAAGCTACTCGTCCAAGAGATGAGATCTCGTCCTCCCATGTTGATGTTAGAAAATCAATATTATACCAAAGAGCTACAAGGAAAAACAGAAGAGACTGAGCAGTTTCCAATGTAGATGTAGACAATGCAATAAGTTCACAACCTTCGAAGATAAGAAATAGACAGGAAATTCAATCCATAATCTTTAATAGTTGTTTAGTAAAATGTTTAAGCAATATGATCTCAGTCCTTGGAGCCAAAAAGAAGAGTAATTTTCCCAACTTCAAGTGCATTTCAGTACAATCAGAAAAATCAAACCTTTGAAACTTCATTATAATCAATGTCCAAGGATCAGACAGCTTTGAGCTACTATTTGATAGTCATCTGTTAAACAGTCTAACAAAGAATTTCAATTAGACAGGCTAGTTATATCTAAAAATGGTGAAGCTTTGAAGTCCTAAAAGGCACCTTGCGAAGTATTGATGTGATGAAGAAGATGAAAGAGGAAATTATGAATAGGAAATTGGATCTAGTAAGAGCCTGTTTGATGGAGAAGTTAAAAAATAAAGAAAAGTTTTGGGTTTACGTGTAATATTATTTTATTGAAGAATATGTGGATGAAAATAAGAGAGAGAAATGTATTTTGAAAATAATGGGGCCCAAACAAGGGCTAAATGTTTCCACTGTTAAAGGATAAACATGAGGAAATGATAAGGTGGATTATGAGTCTACCTTACCCCCCCAACATACACACAACAAACTTAAATCACCCCCAATATTATAAGTTAATTCTCTCCCATCTCTATCCTATCAACAAAACAGATAGGCAAATAGGTGCTTTTTGATGGAAAATTATACATCACATTTTCTGTTCCATCTACTTTCCCACCCTTTTGACCAAATAGAGGACGCGTTAAATATTAATGCATCACATACTACATACAAAATTGGTAGTTCTTATTTAAAATTCACAGAAAAGAATTAAGCATATATGTACACATCAGTTGGAAAAACAGAGTACCTTGAATATGTTACATCACTTTCAGAAGCTGATATTACTGGTGTTGACTCAGAAAGTATTTTGCCTTCTCTTTTTGGTTTGTCTGGTAATTCAGCACTAGAAAAACCCATATTGACATTTGAGGTGGACGTTGGCGAGTGACTTTCACGAAGAATGTTTCCATCTGACCATGATCTTTTAAAAAGTAATCTAGACACAGAAAACACGAATGAACATCATCTTACCACCACATGGCTATAAAAAGAATTATGGAGCTATCACAAAAATATATTAGTCCCCTAAAAATTTGTTTACAACAATTTCGGCAGTACATCTTGGACCAGTAATAAATAAATCAATTTCACCCTGACCCGAATACATATAATGGTCCAACACAAATATTTAGAGGTTGTTTGAGCCCCATTTTTTCTTAAGAATGCATTTTGGAATAGTAGATTGATGGAGAATGTGTGGTTGAAAAATAAGGAAAAGTTTTGGATTTGCATGTAATATTATTTTATTGAAGAATGTATGGTCGAAAAAAAGAGAGAAAAATGAATTTTAAAAATAATGTGGATCAAACAAAGGCTTAGCTTATTGAACAAATCCAAACTTGGGCAATCTAGAAGTGATGGAAGTCCTTCGGAAAAAATGCATGTGAAAATTTGGGGAAATTTTGCCATATACATAAAAGAGATTATAAGCATTTCAGCAGAAAGTTATGGAAGTCCTTCATCAAAAAATGCATGCGAAAATATGGGTAAATTTCGCCATATATGTAAAAGAGATTATAAGCATTTCCACAGATAACTATCTCCCACCATACCTTCCATTTTCATCAATATTTGATTGCCCATATCTCCTCACATTGTAATGTTGGTCAGAATTCAGTTCCCACACATCCGGTTTACCTGGATGAGGTTGAAAATCCCCCAAAAATCTGCTCAAATACATATGAACCGTTAATTTCAGTGAATGCCTCATTTGATCAACTTGAAAAAAATAAAAAAATAAATAATAAAAATAACAATAACAATAACAATAATAATAATAATGTAGTTTAAACAAGAAAAGTCTTTGAGACAACAGACAAAACTCTCTCTTGATCTATTGAAACATGTTCAAGTGAGGATAAAGAAAATCTGGCTGAAATTGGAATGTTCCTTAACTCCCCACATAATCCATCTCATTATCCAGAGCTTCTCAATCACGTAAAAATTCAGAAACCATAAGTAAGATCGTTTCCACTACTAACTTACACATTAATGGCATTTTGTTTCTCCGCATCCATGTACGCATTGCTGTAATAACGCTGTAGAGTTCGAAAAAATTCCTGGGACTGGATTGCAGCTTTCCACTGACCCCTTCTCTCAGAGAAAATCTTAAATAATAAAAAAAAAGAGAGAGAGAGAGTCGAATAAATATTTAGAATGTCATCTCAAACGTTGTAAATGAAAATAAATGGCTACAACAAAAGAATGACAATATGTATATTCACCAAGAGACATTTTTGCGCTGACCCTGTGATAGACTACAAACTGATTTTGACTCTAAAAGAAACATTAAGTTGCAAAGTAACAAGATAAAACAATAAGAACCATACACTCAACTCACATTAGTGGGTATCACCAGTAGCACAACATTTGTTAGGGCAGGGGGGCCCTTCTTGTAGCAAAAAATAGTCTAAATGTCAAAATTGTTTGTATATTTTGATAAACTAAATGAATTAACTAATTTACGAACCACAGTTGAAAGAATACTTCCGGCAACAGATTAGACATAAATTGGCTTCTCATACTGTCTGTGTTGACGAGAAAAACCACCGTACATATCTAAATCAAGATAAATATTACTGATGGTGAATCCATATCTCATGGAATAGAGGAGACTAAAAATTGATTTTTCATTGGCAGTAGAAATCACTAATTTTCTGCAAGTAACACAAATTTTAGACATGACATTCAATAATAAACTGGTAGAACATTTTCAACTATATTTACAGTTTCCAAGAAAATAGTTTCTTTTATTAAATTACATTAATTTTGTATACACCTGTTAGACATAAATAGCTTAACAATGTATCGACTCACTCTACGAGAATTACAAAGTGGCTTACTTTGTTGTGAGCAGCTGAGCCACCATACTGGTGTGAAAGAGTATCTCCCATTCTCTCATAAAGACACATTAATTCATCAGCCAAAGGATCATCAAGGTCTATCTTTGTCGAAGTTAATACTCCTAGGGCATGCAACTGATGCCCCAAAGCAGCCAAACCATATGTATATTGCGCTACATTAGTGCGATCCAGACAATCTATGCAATTTGTCCTGAGAACTCCCCTTTGAAACGATGGTGACTTGACAGCAGGATTACAAGTAGAAACGCTAGATTTTCTGTCCGAGCTATCTGAATCCTCAATCTCATCAACACAATGTTTCTCATTTTCAGTGTCGCAATATCTTGTGGCCAACATGCTAGGTGCAACAATATTCCTGCATCACACAATCAATGTTTAAAAAAGCTAAATTGGGTACTAAGACCTTTTTCCTTCGTTAGGCAGGACATAAACCTCAAGGCATTTTGAGGCATAAGCCTCAACACAAACATATAAACTAAGACAAAAAATGGAAAGAGAAACAAAACAATAACAACAAACCTATAAAGGAGCATAAACAATGTTGAAAATTTACAATAGAACTATTTAAAGTGAGACCTGCAAACAAACACAGATAATAAACTAACAAAATATAAAATACTGAAAATGTACCCTTGGGTTATTATAAACCTATTATTTTAGTTTGTGGGTAGTGGGCTATTCACAAAGTGGGTCAATCAGAAAACACAAGCTTTTAATGTTTTGTAGGCCCACAGCTAAAGCAAATAATTCTGAACAAATAAAGTAAACAGATTGAACAATTCAGAAGAGCATGCTTCACAAGCCTTTAGGCATGCACCTTCCAAAAGTTCCCAACGATCAGCGCTTAACGCACTCTTTGGATGACTCGCTTCGAAGCACGCTTGATCGTTAATTTTTAAACACTGCATACAAACATTGCAAACTCTCCTTTCAGCAACATATTCATAGTAACACAAATTTTCAAATCCAGTCCATTTATTCATCAAATACTAACTGCAATAGTGCAACTGTAATGTTACTATATAAGACCATGGTATCTAAGCATTTTGGTAAGTCAACGGATTGAAATTTTACATCAGCCTCGGGGAAAGATATATGTAATATAAGAACTTGTCTTCTCATATAAAATGTTAATTACTGTCAATTAGAGGGAAAAAAATGTGAGCATCCATTATGAGAAGAAAGGCTCTATTTTTTTTTAGCCTTCATTTGACTACCCAAGAAACATCACAGCCACAATTCGACAGCCAGGAAAAAGGTTTGCAATTCTATATTAGATATCATGATATTGAGAAAGTACCAAAGTATTCCAGTAAAATGTTGCGCTACCAAATTATCACAAGTTTTCTTCAGGTTTTAATGTTCTATCTAAACAAATATGCTCAGATGACCAAGTGACCAAGATTCTTATGAAGTGACAATATATAAATCATTTCAAAATTGTTCAAAGGGAGTGGAATAGAATGAGAAAACTCACTCAAAACAGGGGCATTTGAGAAATCCTTCTGATTGCAAGTCTGGTGTAACTTGACAATAGAAGAAACCTGTCAGTGTCAATGCAAATGTAGCAGCCTTCCCCAAAAGTAGCAAAACGTTTGTAGCTTTGCTGGTGGAAAATCAAAAGCGAAGAACAGGAGAAGAAAAAGAAGACAGAAAAAAGATCAGATGTTTCACAAAAACTAGCATCAGCATGTCTTTAGAAATAGAACAATGGATACCTCCGAGAATGTCTGTGCAAATCCCAGTGAAGGAATTTAAGATGATTCTCCTCAGACAGATCTTTATTAATAGCTTCAATTGCATTAGCGAATTCTGTGCGAAGAATAGATTCTCGAGGCTTGTTTTCATTTGTCTGTTGATAAAAATTGCTTTGGTTAGGTGGTGCATAAGTTCATTCTTTAAGCTTAACAACTTCAATATGTAACAAAAAAAGGAATTAACCTGTTCACATGACACGAGTGCAAAAGCCAAGATAAAATCCTCTTACCTTAATTAAATTTAAAATAATAATAGGATTCTCATATCTCTCAACAAGATTTTCAAAATGAAGTCTTGTAGCTTCATAATTTTGGTCCCTCTTTGACACTGTAAAATAAACATCAGTAAGTAAGTATTTGGATAATTATTCAATCTTTAGACAGAAAAAACAAGATAGTAGCTAGAACATACATTTAATGTCAGGCTTAAGATTCAGGCGTGAAGTTTCCTGTGACCAGAATAGAGGGATTGAGCCACGGTTTTGGACAACAGAACTTATTTGTGTAGGGAACCCTTCTGGAACATCCTCAAATATAATCTGCTCAGTTTCAACGTCATTTGCAACTCTTCCCTTATCGTTCACCCCTCGTTTCAGATATCTACATATGAAGAAAAAAAATTAAGGTTCAAAAGTGGCAAAAGAGGAAAGGGGATGGAAGAACTTCCCAGAAACTTTTCAATGAAGAGTAAAACAAAATGGTACCAAAAGGTTAGTGTCGTTACTACATAGCACAGCAAATTACAAAAGAAAACAACAACAATTGCCCATTTGTTAACTGATATGCATGGTAAGATGACAAGAAATAAAAAGCTAGTACTGGACACTATACATGCAAAAGCTAACTAAGACTCAAATCATGTAAGAAAAAAGATTCAAAGAAAAAGGTGTATTTTCTGGAAACATCTTTGAGAGAAATAGGCTTACTAAGTCCAAAATGTAGCTATCCCGGTTAATCACATTAGAATTTACGAACTCAACGGTAAACCAAAATCACATTAGAATACCAGAATGGACGCTTAATATTCTCTTTTTAATGGAAGACTGAAAAGAAAGTGATCACGTCACAGCAGAATGTCAACCAGAAGTTACTTAGATCCAACCACAACAGATGTGCTTCTCAAACCTTAGCATATGTGCAGCCAACTACATTCACTTATTATCTCTTTAACGTAAACAAGAAACTTATTAACAGTGAAAAAGAAACACATGTAGAGACAATATGTTCTCGGGCATGCTAGTGCAAGAAGAAGATAAGTACAAAAAAAGACAATAAAAAAATAACTCCCTCTTACTACACACATCCTATAAAGCTAATCCAGTAAATAGCCCAGGAGTTTTGGCCCATAAAAGATGCCAAAAACACAACTCTATCCCAGAAGCAATGAGGATTGCTACACTAACTCTGAACAATTCTAGCAAACTTCTCCAAACATATAGACCAGGTTACAGCGATCAACAGCTAAAACTGTAGCCCCTTTACTGTTTCCAAAATCCATGTGGAACAAAATCAATCAGAGATGCATGTCCGATGAAAAAAAATCCTAATATTGCAACTAATCTCAATTATGCATCCCTAGAAGAAAGTACAGTGCAAGAAAAGATGACAGTGAATTTCTGGTGTGGAAGCGTCTGTGAAATTCTAGTATTAAGAATTATGTAATAAACTAATAAGGATATTTGAATAACTTGTTTGTATGTTATAGAATAATAATTGATGTCTTCCAAAAAGTGTACAACGTCTTTGTATTTATAGGCAAAATTATTCCCCAATACTATTAATAAAAGGAAACTAATAAAAAAAATCCCAATCTAAAATAAATTAGAAATTATATTCAGATCAATAAAGAAAAGAAATCATATTCTAAACAAGAAATATGAAAAAAAAAAAAAAAACCTATTACAACTAGAAAAGATAAACACAATTGAAAAGATAAACTCCTAGAAAAGGTGTGTTAAAGGGTATTTAAGTCTTTTATGTAATACTTAGGGTTTCCTAAGTTTTTATTATAAATAGTGTGAGAGGCTAACACAATAGTTAAGCCTTCTTATTCTTTTACTTCAACAGCCACCATTGCTAACCGTCCCACAAAAATGGAGAAGGAAAAAAGGGAAACGATCAGTAAGTTATAATGTTAAGCCTTCTTATTCTTTTATTTTAACAAGGTGAATCATAATTGTAGTAGGAAACTATTAATTGTAGTATTGATGTACTACATCAATTTCATTGCTAATTTAGTGCACGAGACAAAAAAGCATTATCGGGCCTACATTCTTGTAGCAAATCATTAATATAAATTTCTTCTAGGACCAAACAATTTATATTAATCACCTAGAACCTGCGCATTATGTTATTATGGATACAGCAACCGGACAACTAGATATCAAGTACTTCGTCTGTTCCTTTGAATTATCTGGTTTGACATGGATCTTCAGTAGAGACTTCGATTCTCCATTACATTCCATTTTATTCTTGTTCATGTGTGCAAGTAGTCAATTGACAAATGAAAAAGAAAAAAGGAGTCAACTCTTCCCTTTCTCCTCATCCCCCTCATTTAGCAAGCAATCCAAAAATTACACCAGCAGTGCACCACCAATAGCAGAATGAAACACCATCACCACTATAAACTTATTACAACTAGTCAAACAAAATCACCAGCAAAACAAACACCACAACAACCAAGAGGAAGAAATTTAAGAACAAAATAAATGAAGAAGAATCTTCAAGGGAAACCTCCAATACCTCCTGTATACAAAGACTAAATACAACCATGTCTACAGAACTACCACTCATATTTAGTACCTGTCCATCAATTTCCAACATGAATTCTCCGTCTATGATGCAAAATGGCAAATATTAAAAGATTCAACATGTGGCTTATAGCAGTGCATAGTAGCTATTTCGGAACTCATATCATACTAGTGGCCTTTTGACCTCTTGTGATGTTAGCAATATTGAGGATCAGTACAGGGCGTGGAAGTTTGACAAAACAAGGATTGCGATCATGTGATGATTCCAGTGGATCTGGGCTCAAAGCTTTGAAGGCAACAGGTTGACAACAGTTTAGATGTCATTTAAGGGTCTCGGTTCATGATTTCATTTATGGGACTATTGGACTAATAGTCATGGTGGCATGCACGTGATTGCAATGATAACATCTAAGATTTTGTAGGTTGACTGGCAATGGTAGGTGGCAGGCAGCTTACTAGTCGTAGTGATGGTTAATTGGTGATTTGGGAGTAAGGTCTATAGAGGGCAGAAAACAAGAAATAGGGAAAAGAAACTGTGTTCGCTTTGGGAGGAGAGCAAAAAAGATTGATTGAATTAGGCATCGATAAGGAAACAAAAGGAGTACAGTGATAGAATAACACTAAGTCTAGGATAATATGTAACTGTATGTATAGCTAAATTGATAAGTTTCTTTGAAAGTCATCATAAATAAAAAGATTGATTCCCTTTAAAAAGCCTATTACACAGAATCTCCCATTGACAATAATGNGGGCTTTTTCCGAGCCGAGCCCGGGCCGTCCGAGCCTCCGAGCTTTTTTGCCACCGCTAGGCAGCTTACTAGTCGTAGTGATGGTTAATTGGTGATTTGGGAGTAAGGTCTATAGAGGGCAGAAAACAAGAAATAGGGAAAAGAAACTGTGTGTCCGTGTTGGGAGGAGAGCAAAAAAGATTGATTGAATTAGGCATCGATAAGGAAACAAAAGGAGTACAGTGATAGAATAGCACTAAGTCTAGGATAATATGTAACTGTATGTATAGCTAAATTGATAAGTTTCTTTGAAAGTCATAAATAAAAAGATTGATTCCCTTTAAAAAGCCTATTACACAGAATCTCCCATTGACAATAATGAGGACAATTAAATAAATATAGTCCAACTGGACAATAGGCAATATATGTGCCCAAATGAGTAATGCCTAGGAGAAAGTAATCCATAACATGTAAACTATATACATAGATAGACACATATGTTTGGAAATCATATAAATAAATGGACTGATCCTTTAATAAGCCTATCACCCAGAATCACACATTGGCCATAACATTCTCGTATGTGTCGATCTCAATAGTGACTCATTATTTCAATATATCATTTCTTTAGACATTTCTTTAGACAAAAGAAGACTATGTAAACACTTACTAAAAATCTCATAGAGGTTTGCAGCAAATTTTGGGAAAACGTACGCTTTGGAGAAAGTATGCAACTTTAATGAGTAACAGATAACATGATTGTATTTATCACATTTATATTTGCCTTCTGACCTTGTTCCAGCATAATGCCGTGAACGTCTTGCTATTAGAGTCAGCTTGAATTCCCGCCCTGATATAGGAAGTGTAGCCTGGATTGACCAAGCATAAGCAATGAACAACACATCAAGCTGTTAGTGCTTGCAACAAATGCAGGTGGTAATATTATAAATGTGTTACAAGTAATCAGAGTGAAGAGAGTAAAGAGTAACAGAAAAATTCATGACAGAACTGGTGAATCATGAAAAAAATACACCAGATGACTTGAGCAAAGAAACACGGCGGACCAACAGCAACTCGTGAAGACAGTCACAGAAGCTAACCTGTTTAAAGAAGCCATAAACCAATGCAACAGTCCAAATAGTATTCTGCAGAATATTTCGCATTTCACGAGTAAGAAACTCATTCCAGACGAACATAGTTTCATATAAGACTTGTCCTGTCTCGTTATCACACGTGTTCCTCTGGAGACTTCTCATCACATGGTAGGAGTAACTAAAGTAGAAATCCCTAGTAAGATCAAGTGTGCACAAAAGTTTCTTGTACCTACACAACCATAAAAGTAGTACAGTACTTGTTAGTAACAACAATCAAGCTCAAATTTCAAGGGAAAGTGATTGGTGCAGAAGACATCTGGAAAAGAATAATAACTTACAAGGTACAAAAAAAACATGTTCATTAACTGCTCTTTTGTGAATAGTATTTGTCAATGAAAATTGAAATTTAAAGCTAGGATCAATTTTGAAAACATGAAGATTTTCATCCTATAACCTGAAATGGCAATCAGCAATAACACACTCTTTCGCAACGCTAATATGTAGAGGCAATTAGGCAAAGAATGCAATGAAATCTCAACTCAGATCATACTACCTATTATTGAATTAATATGTAGTATTGTACCAATGCTTCAAAGTGCATAGTTTCTCTATAGTTTTTATATTTAGCCCATGTTTGAACGCCATTCTTTGAAAATAAAAATTAACAATTTGACCGTTATACAGTGAGCGGGCTCCACTTTGGCAGCGAGGTTTGACTGTGTTATCTGCATTCAATTTTAAAAATTGGTGAAAAGACCATAATGCCCCTAACTTGTTGCATTCGATTTTCATAAATTGGACAATTTTGACATTTCAAACTAAAAAAAGACGGCTACCATTCATTTTTCAAATATTGCGGTTGGATCACTGTTCACCTTACTGTTGCAACGTTTATATTTTTCATTAAAATGTGGAATTAATGGCTCCCAAACATGCAATTAGTTGTCTTTTGGCTGGAGGTATTTATCAGGAATAAAACAAATATAATGTAACAGGCAGTACTATTGAAAATCGACCAATTATAAGGAATGCCGAAGTGAGAGATTGATAGAGAAAAATAACTCGTATATTCCAGCACTACACTCTCTCACCTATGGTAGCGCAGACTTTCATCAAATCTCAAGTGATACCAACATTTATACATTCAAACATAACCAAAAAATGTCCACGAAATTCAAATGAAAGACCATAAGAACTCGCACTGCATTTCTTTGTGATTAAAGATTATATATGAAAACAAAATGTTCAGCAGAAAAGCAATAACCTGTTTTCATTCTTATTGTTAACCGTGGTGGATCTCACTGCAGAATTTGGAAGAGGGATTATCTCGCTTTTAGAGATAGCGTAAACTTTGTGACCGCAGATTGCACCAATTTGCCTTCTTTTTGTTATGAGTACCAGGTAATAAGGCCCCAGAAATCTAATGAACCCTGAAAGAAAGAAGAAAAAAGACAGTAAGAGAATGGAAAAATCAGGGATACCAGCCTCATGTGGAGGAAAGCATAAGATCTCCTTCATCTACATACCAACAATGCCATAACAAGTAGTGACAAACTTAAGTCCTCCTGTGGCCCTGTTTCCTTCATGTATTCTTCTCAATAGGTCAGAGCACTCCCTCTCTGTATATGTCGTAGAATCTTCACGAATGTTAAGCTCGGAAGGTTCCAACCTGTCAATTTTTAACACTCTCCAGCATGTTCTACTTTGGTTCCTTCCTACCATATAGAATTTCTGCAATCCAAAATCAGAAAACTGATACATTGGAAAGTAGTTGGAGAAAAAATTGAATTTGCACATTACTATGTAAATAATAGAACTTGAGGAAGTGTAAAAAGAAGACAAATCCACTGTGCTTTCCAATAACACATGATATACTAATGTCTAACCTGCAGTTGCTTTTTCTTTTAGTTCCTAATTTCACCGCTAGGCAACAAACAGACAGCAATAAAGCTAAGGAGAATGTAAGAGAATGATTATATTTTAGTACACTGTTAATGCTGATACATGTAGAAAAACAAGTCTTCAATACAAACTTGTGAATTCCTAGCACGTGGAAGATATAGCACGTGTGTCCAGCTTATTTACTAAACTAGCCTCCACCACTGCAATTCAAAAAGAAATTTTTTTTAAAACCGACTCATTTGACAACTCAAGCTAAATCTCGTGTATGTTCCATAAAAAATCTGAAAACTCGATCAATCAAGTATTTGGTTAGCTCTTCAATTAACTGCCATGTAATAAATTTGAAATCCAGCCACATCCAAACCCAATTGCTAACATTAACTTATACTAGCCTCTATAAATTAATAATTCAAAGTGATTATACGAATTTACTGATGTAGTTCACGTTGATCTACAAAAGCCTTAAAACATCACATTTTGCATTCCGGAAACAGTACAAGAATCAAAGATTGCATTTTTAAATCAATAAAATGCCTAAAAGTTGCAAACGAGTTTAAACACTATACCGATCGAGTTTCATAGAGTCTGAATTTCTGCATAAATCCTCCATGAGGCGGTGGTGGAGGAGAATCCGGTTGTACTTCCTGCAATTGCTGCTCCACATTCCTCGGCATGTCAGCCATTGGCGGTGGTTCTCCGATCCCCGAGCCTCTGGCTCGGGAATCAATCACACCGGCATTCAATTTAAATGGAAAATTGTTTATTTTTGTCTCAAATTCCTAAACCCCATCATCACCCCAATTGGTTGCTTCAAATATAGCATTCCTCAGAAACCAAAATTCAGAAAACCCTCGAGCCTTTTGACTTTTTTTTCTTAAATTTCCAACCCGAAACTAGAATATTGTATATACATGAATTATAATTAACAACAGCTGATCTTCGATCAAGTTGTCAAATATGAAGACTTCAGAGAGAATTAAACGAAAACAAAACGCGATACTGATTTTAATAATGAATTTGCATCCTATGGGATTGTGTGTAATTGTATATATACGTATATATATGCAGAGAAATGGTGATTTGGAAGGTGGATGGGATTTCAGAAGAAAGTCAGAAAATATGGAATGGAGAGAGAGGGGGAGAGAGGGCAATGATGATGACTATGATGATATATGCCGAGACTGGTGCATAGATTTTGATTGATTTAAATGGGAAATATCAGTGGAGGTCCTTCATCTTTAGTCGGTAACTTTTGACCCTTTAAAAGGAGCATTTAGGTCATGACCTTTAGCTCCCTTGTTTAAGAATTGTCATTCATATACTATTCATTCTCATTCAAAAGAGCGATTAAGAATCTCGAGATCTTAAGCAAGTGAATAAGTGAGAGGAAGGTTTAAGTGGATGATTTGTCGAATTGTCAGAACTCGACTCTTTTGAAAATAAAAAACCTAAATAAATTTATTTTTCTCATCTTTGATCCCAAAGGTTTAGCGTTGGAATTAACACGTTGTAGGTATGTTTTTTTCAAACATAACGACTTACTTGAATGTGCAACACACGTGTTACGCTTACATGGTGATTTATTGATGATCTAATATGTTAATACTTGGAAGGAAAGAAAAAATTAAACAAATTAAATATTGTAAACTTGCTATTTACTTGACTTTTTTATCTAACAAAAAATTTCGATAGTATATATAAGGTTCATATTTTAAGATAGAACTCCAAATTTTAATATGGTATCAGAACTCATTAAATTTCAATGAACAATTCAATAAGATTAAGACTCAAAAAATGAGAACGCGAATTTCAAGATTGATTTGTTCAACGAACCACCATCTTGCGGAACATATTAAGGGATAAAATCTTATATCGAATGAAATAATTGTTAAGTAAATTCAGTGTTTTCCCTGATGTGACTGGTGTTCCGACTGCTCCAATCGGTTTTTACCACCTGCAAAATGAGGTCGAGGCTTTCTCCCCCGTTGTACCTCCGCGCGTGAGAATTAGTGTTCTGTATTAGAGAATATGGAGAGACTATATAAGAATTCAGATAGTTCGGGTTTTCTTTCTCACCTTGGAGGTATTTATAGGCACATGTTGCTGTACGTGCGTTTGGCAGTTACTGGTGCCACGTGTCCCACGTAAACCTTCCCACTTCCTCCACGTTCTAGAGTTGTGACCACCACACGTCAAGCGGTTGATTATGCCCACGCTCGCTATTGGGCTATTTTCGTCCAACTTATTGCCATTTATTTGGCTAAG